TCCTCATGCCCCAGCCAGCCAGGTTGGCGTCTACACATGCACTGCTGCGAAATAAAAAACACTCCACAGCAGGATAGTACTTGTATTTACAAGTATTTACAAGTACTATCCTGCTGTGGAGTTTATTAATTTCCTGCACTCTAATAGGGCTGCACATGTAGACAGATGTTTACTATGGAGCTAATTAGTCAACTCTACAGTAAACATCTCACATAGCTATGCCCTGTTTGGCCTAAGAATGGCCATATTTTGAAGTTTTAAGGACCTTAATCTCTGCCCGTAGCTCTAAAAAAAAACAACTGAATACAAAAAATGCAGAATGTACCATGTAAGCATGTTAACAGTAATGTTTGCCTCCATATATGAAGTAAAGCATTTGCTCTAATGTATTCATTTAAAAAGCAAACTGAGCATATGTGCACTGCTCAGAGGTTTGTCCAAAGTTCCACATTTTTATTCTGTTACATAGCAGGTCACATAAAGAAACTGTGTTTTGGCTCAGAGACCCTTTCTTAGGCTTAACCGTTATTTTTTCTTGTGAGAGGCTGTTTCATGTAAATAGACATAAAATGTACTTAATTAGCTCACTATTAATGTGGTTTAACTTAGTTTGTTTTTTCCACAAAGACCATCATTACTCAGACTAAAATTCATTCAACAATGCAGAGCTGATGATAATATTGACTAAGTGATGTAAAAAACCTACTGTCAAAGGTTTGACTGCTCTTAGGTAAGCCACCCTTGACGCAACTCTATTTAATCTATGCAACTATATAATAGGCACATGTTATGTATAAGAGTCTTCCTTTATTTATTTTTTTTTACAGCTGAATCAGTTTGTGGTATTTGAAGATTTACAGAATGTTTTCTTCACTGATGCCATAGGAGAAAAATGTAATTCCTATGACAAATGTATGTTTAAGTGAGAAAATCAATTAAAAGCAATTTTTCTTCAACTTAGCAAAGAGTTTTTAAAATCATTACTTTTTGCTTTTTTATGTTGTCACAGATACTATATTTCTAGTCATTTTCTTGTCAAGATCATATTGGCATGTATTGTTTACAAAGTTTTCACACCAATGTTTGCTTATTGGTTTTAAAACAATGCTTCTGCTGTTAAATCAGAGCTTTCACAGAACATAAACTTTAGGCTACACCTGACCAGGCAGTGTCCTTTTGAAGACCTTTTTTAGTGGTTCTCAGTGAGCACACTACTGATTCAAAGCGTATATCAAGTAGTCTGCTTTAGCCTCTAAGGTCAAAGTGGGCTGACTATATTTCTTTTTAAACCTATTGTACTACAAATGCAAGGGAAAAAAGGAAAATTAATCATCATCATCATCAAGGCACATTTTCTTGGTTACTGAAACACAGAGGGGAAATTAGAAGGGGAAAAGACAGCAAGGATGAGAGCAGAAAAAGAAGAGTGAGGGCAGAAAACTAGCAAAGCAAATCCCATGAATTAAAATCAGAATAAAAAGACCTAAAGAAGAATGAGAGAGAACAAGGCCTCAGGCATGCTCTCATGTAGCTGTACAATATACACGTACAGCTTCTGCGTACTGTCAGTGCAGCATATAGCCAGTCCATTGCAAGCTGTGGAGCAGTGACCATAAAAGAATACAACAGTGATCCTGTCTCAAGATTAATCCTTCTGGAGTAAAGTACCGGTGGGATCAGAGAGATTTGTAAATTTGAGGACATGGAGATAGTAGCGAGTACAGTTGCTAACTACATGAAGAGGGACTTGTGGATTGTGGCAGAGGAGAAAGGTACATTGGCACACATCGGGGAGAAGAGGATGATGGATGAGGAACAGAATGGGGGGGGGGGAGCAATGGAGAGCACTGGCACAGAGCTCCCAGGGTATGGTAAAGGAATAGGAAGGAGAAGAGAAACATACGCTGTTTATTATTATCATTATCATTATTTTAACTATGAGAGAAAAATGGGGGGGAGTTCATTGTAAAATGACCCTGCATTCGTGAATTTCCCCCAGTACTAACAATTTTAACAAATATAAGAGATGTAATTTTTCCAAAATTACATCCATTTAAAGCCAGTAGCTTTGTGTTAATCTGCACATCCCAATTTAATGTTTACAACGATGGGCCTTTTTCTCCTGAGAACACTCCTTTGTTAAGCTTTCTTGATAATGCAACCACTTTATGTATAAGCCTAGGGAAAAAAAACAACAACACATAAATAATAAATGGGAAGAGATCATTTACCACTCCTCCTATTAAAAGGACCCATACTACTTGTTTTCCAACAAACAGTTTTAGTGTTTAAACAGGGGAAAGATGTGTTACTCAGCTGAACTGATGCAACCATTTCATCTGTCCAGTCTTTTACTGGTATAAGTGGAGCGACCCCTAAATGAAATCAGTTTGAAGTTACAGCAGTTGTGCTCCACTTACACCTGTGTAGAAGCAAACAGATAAACCATTTATATTTGTACAGTGTGATCTACAGTAAACTGGTATAATTTACAACCAGCATAATAGTTTAATTTGATCACACCAGAAGCACTGACATTTAGGAGGATGGTCAAAGCAGATGCAATGAGTGAAAGAGAGCCAGGACTGGGGCTGGTAGGTGGGGCTTAAAACTATAACACAAAGGAAACTCCCCCCAACTCTTCTGACATAAAACTCTCAAGTGATTCCAAGCAGGGACTGGGTATCAAGGTGAAAAAAAAAATATTCCCAGTTTTCATTACAAGAATGCTAAACAGAACTGCTGTTTTTCCTGACTTCTTTTGAACATTTAAACAGAGTTATCCAGCAAAGCAAGGAGCTGAAAAGGCCCTGGGGGAAAAGAATGCAACAGGCACAGTGCTTGAGGAAGCGTTCCTTCCTCACACTCTACTTAATCATATGCAACTCCATCAAAAAAAACCCCTTTGGATTGCACAGATTACTGTACTATTGTACTTCCTCTGCAGCATTCCTCTCTTTGGTACTTCTCACGTATGGCTCCACACAACTTCTGAGCACTTAAAGCTTATTTCTGCAGTGCTGCCTTTCTGACCAGCACTGCATGTACCTTAAGACCTCAACTCTCCAGCATGAGAAATCTTGTCCAGCTGGTGTTTTAAGCCCCCTCCCTCCTGCATCCCCCATGCAGATACACCAAAGTCTTTGTACTGGGGCCAGCCCTTCATTTAGATACAGTGCGCAGGCATTACACCAGGACGAGCTGCATCACGCCACAGTGCAACTCTATAGGCAGCACAACTTACCATTACAAAAACCTCAGTGAAGATGAAGCTGGATTGTGCTAGGTTGAATCTAAATTGATTGCTGAAAGTCCTGCACAATTAGAGTAATGCCACGAGCCAAGTGACAATCCCGCAAAGCTCTGCTGGGAGGTTACCCCAGTGAATGGATCAGTCGCCAGCAACCAACCCAGCTACACCCTTGCAACCATAGAAGACAGATGACCCAAGCAGCTGTTTCAACTGCTGGAGTCTTTCCTCATCTCAGTTACTGTTGTTCCCCCTGGTCTAAGCAGAGTTATATCGCAGGCAGCTGCCCTCGTGGCTGGCTACTGGCAGCTAGAAGCAGGTCCCCAATGGAGGCAAAGCCCAAACATACGGTGTTTTCCTTCTCACGCAACATACTTCCTCTTCACTAAGCATACCATTCCTTCTTCAGAGGGTGCACATTTAGAAGATAATTGAATTAAACAGTTACCTCAGAAAATCACTAAAAGCTAGCTGTGTGCTTAGCCAGATGAAGCAATCTGCTTTATGCCAGGCAAAAAACAATAGCCTTGCACACAGATATTCTGCAAATTATGAGCTCATATCACTCAAAAGTGGACGGTAACCAGCATTACTCCATGGGTCAGATTCTCTTTAAACCTCTTAGCAAACTTCTACTTTGTTGCTTTCTTTTCATTAGGTTCAGTGATTTTAGTGCCTAAAAACTGGCACCTTTCCAAAAGTTGAGGCTAACTGACGTACCTCCTTTATGAATCTACTGCATCTTGTTAATACACGCAGCATTCCCACCAGCTACAGCAATACCTACCAGTGTCCCGCATTCTTACTCTTTTTGATGCCAGGAATTGAGAGGCAAATGCCAAGAACTTAAAAACTGTTATTTCTCCTCTCTAAGTAAAAGTCAGAGAAAGACTAAATGTCCTTGACTGAAACTTCATTTCTCTTCTTAAACTGGATTAAGTATTATTTACTAATTACTAACTGGAATTACCAATGACTATTTTCTATTATTTTACTGCAATTTTTCCTGAAAATGGAACGTAAAACTATTTCCTACAATATAATTTTCAAATAGAAGAGAGTTGCCTCAAAATGCCCTTCATTCGTTACAGTTAAATGTTAAAGTCACGTTACACCACAACAAAATATTTTAAAAGTCTCAAGAAAACCCTCATGCTTTAGGGCAAAAGCCAGTTTCTGAGTGGCTAGGGTTAAGATGAAACCTCCTCTAAGGCAGGCTACTATATGGTTGATCATTATAGTGTTTCTTGGGCCTTCCTCTGAAGCATTAGGCCCTGAGCACTGTGTGTGACCATTTCATTGATCCAGCCTGGTATTTTACGACCCTGTTCTGCTACAGGTTTACGTTTATTTGCTCTCCATTTTAAGCATCCTTGCTGAAGCAGGCTGCCACTGAAGAAAGGCAGTCAAACAAGTAATGCGAGAACTTAAGTGATTTAGTATGTATGTTCGTCTTCAGAACAACGTCAGAATAATTGAAAACTGGAGGCCAAGCATATTGTAGAGCAGAATTTGTTTTATAATCTAAAAGGGTGGAGAGTTAAGGCAGTTGCAATATTAATGAAAATCGCACACTATGGTGTTTTCTAGGCACAGAATAATGCTGACCACTGGGAATTCACAACACATCAAAGCTATTCAAGATTTAGAGATGGAGGAGAAAAGGAAGATACCCTTTCTTTTCCAAGTAACATGGCAAAGTAATGTTCTCAGCGACTGCAATATAACTGTAGGAGCACAACACTCTTACCTGTGTGAGTGAGCATGTGTCGTTGCAGGGAACTTGCCCATGGAAAGACCTGGGGACAGTGAGGACAAATGATTTTTTGCAGGCAATTCAAATAAGCATTCCTTTTTCCTCTCAGCAGTTTCTCCTCCGCCATTTCCTTCTCATCTTCACTGGTTCCATTTCTGTCAACTTCTTTGAAATCATCCGTGGACTGCAGAAATGGGCTAAATTTATTAGTGTCTGTGGTAGCCAGCATCTTCTCTATGCTAGCAAACTCCCCACTTGACTCTAAGTCCACAGCACCACTCACTTTAGGCTTATTTTTTGTTCCTTTCTTCCTACCCCTTTTTTTAGCCAAGCCAGTATCGGCACTTTCAGACTTCTCTAGACTATTTGGATCATACGCTTTCTGCGTAAGGTCACTAGGAATGCTGGAGTTTTTCTGGATGCCCGTCATCATGGTCGCTTTTGGTTTGGAGTTCCCTGATTTATCAGACCCAGTAGAGCTGCTTGATGCTTTGGCACTGGTGTCTGTAACCTCCGTTTTCAGCAAAGCAGGAGCAGAAGACACAGAAGAAATGATCTGTGCGATGGAAGCCAGTGGCGGCAACTCTTTAGTTACAGAAGGCTTTGGCAAAAGAGGTGGCGGCTTAGGCCTCAAGGGTCGCAGCAAGGCAGAGTTGCTGAGAAGAGCTGGGGAAATGATTGGGACAGTCAAATGCAATGGACCCTTCACTGGCTGGGAATGTTTGAGCGCTCTGTTCTCTACGCTCCCATTGGCACTGACAGCCGGAGGGCACTGCTGACAGTTATAGGGTGTGTCACTGTTCCCAAAAGAAGCCTGATCTTGTTTCTTGGCTTCACTGGGGACATCATCTTTATCTTTCTTTACGGCTTTGGGAATTGACAGGTCTATGGGCTCCATGGAACAGTCATAGAGAGATAAAGGGGAGGTGCCGAACAAGTTCTCCTGCTTCACTTGCACTGCACTCAAGTTTTTGTTCTTCTGTGAAAAGTCTAAGGGCTCATCGAAATCCATTGGGAAGGTACTTGCAGGCTCAAGTTTGACTGGAACGTGCGATGGGGCTCCCAGCAAAAAGCCATTTTGTGGTTCCAGGAATGGTGCGATAGGTTTGCAGTCCAGGTAAGTGCTGTCCTCCAGTAAAGGAGGGTCTGCCTGGTTCTCCTGAGGGCTGTAGTCGACAGCCAGAATGTAGTTCTCGATCTCCTTCTCTTGCACGTGCAAGTGTTGCTTGAGGATGTGGTGGATGCAGTTTCGCTTGGCAGAGAAGGCTGTGCCGCACTCCTTGCACTCAAATGGCTTCTTCTTCTGGCAGCCACTGTGAGTTCTCATGTGGATGCGGAGAGCCCGATAGTGCTTCAGGTCCTCACCACAGAATTTGCACACAGTGTCCGGAGAACAAAAAGCATCCACCATCTCTGCCGCATTGCTGGTGACGTACTCAATGTTCTTTTCTATGTCCTTCCTGGTCACCTTGAGGTGCTTCTTGCGCAGGTGCCTCTCACAATTGGCTTTCACTGTGAAGGGGTAGTGACAAATCTTACAGATGTAAGGTCTCTCCCCGCTATGCGTCCGCAGGTGCCGAATCAGCGCTGCCTTATCAGCAGCGATGTAATCACAGATGTTGCACTGGTAAGGGGAGATGCCCAAGTGAGACCGAATATGAGCCCTCAGCACCCCTGAGAAGGCAAACACCTGATCACAGAAGCGGCACGGATACAAGACTTTTCTCATTGTTGGTGCCTTCTTGTTTGCTGCCCCTGCAATGATGGCCTTAAGGTCCCCTTCAGTTACCTCTTGCTTGATCTTGGCATCCATGTTCAAAGGCAAAAGGGCTTCTATGATACTGTCTTGTTCCAGCTGTGTTTTCAGCTCATGTTGACTTAAAGACTCTGCCTTGGACTGGAGGAGCAACTGAGAAGAAATAGATTTCGTTCCCAATTTAGACTGTGTCAGGTGAAAGTTGGAAGCAGACTCCACAGAGTTTTTGATCAGCCTCAGAGGTGGCGGGGGAAGGCTTGGACTGATGCACCCTGGTGAGGCTTGCTGTGCGCTGATCAGTGGAGGAGGTGTAGAGGTTGCAACAACTGTTCGCGGAGTTACCAAGGGCTTTGGCTTCAGTGGCGGCATATGCTTGAAAATAGACTGTCCAGGGGCAGCTGGTGCCTTAGAAAGCGGCGGAAGACTTATCTGAGGAGAAGCTGAAGAAGCCATCTTCAAAATCTGCTGAATGTCAGCCAGTTCAATAGCAGATTCATTGGAAATGGGTTTTACCACAATACTGCTGTCAGGCTGAATGATAAAGCCCTTCTGGAAAGGCTGCAGAGACAGGAGCTTCATGTTCTCTTTTGTAGCCGGAAGGACTGAAAACGAACTTCCCATGGAAGTGGCTTCCAAAGGAGACATGCTGAGCAGGCCTGTGCTGCCAGGGTCCTGAGGTAGGTTACTCTTCAGTGTTCTGAGCTGCATTTCTTGGACCTCATCTTGCATATCCTCCTCCTGCTTGTCAGGCTTGATGTCTTTGGTGTACTGTAGGCCCAAGGACTCCATGAAGACTTTCTGGTCTGGGTTCTCACTAGCTGGGCTCATCAACTCTGGCTTGTGATTTTCTTTTCCCTGATCTGCTATGTGGGTTTCTTTGTGCAGCTTGAGTGCTGGGAGCATGGGGAATGCCTTGTTACAAGTCTCGCAAATATATCGATGAAATTCACTGATGCATCTTCGCAGATTCGTTTCACACCAGACCTACAAGACAATCACACAAGAAACATGACTGACCTAGTCATTGAACATTCTGCCTCAATCAAGTCTTAGATTCTTGCAGAGATAGGAAACAACTCCACTTCTCACTCCTCAAGATGCAGCCACCTTGGCACTGAAAAAGAAAGTTTATAGGATCATAGGAAAGTAGCTTACCAAAGGGAAGTTTACTGTAAGCTCTTCAAATCTCTCTCAGAAATTGAAGGTGATCTTTTTTTAAAAAAATCCCTTTGCATAAATAATTTACAAAAACAAATAATCTCTCAGAATTGTACAATTCATTTACTCGACAACCAGCAGGAGGAGGAGCAGTGTTAGAAATAGACAAGAGAGTTAAGGCTAGGTAATTTTTCCCCCCCCAAAACGTCTCAAAAAACCCATATTCAAATACATCTTTGTAAATGTTCATTGAGGGCACATCTACATAAAACATTTAGTGCTCAATTAACTAATCAGCTGCACAGTAAATGTCTCAGCATCTACATGTGCAGCCCTAGTAGGCTGGAGTAAACTAATTTACTCTGCAGCAGGACAGTACTTGTAAATACAAGTACTACTCTGCTGTGGAGTAAAAAACTGCAACAGCACAAGTTCAGATGCTGGAGGGGCTGGCTGGGGCACAAGGGTGCTTCAGTACAGGGGCTACCTGCCAGCTAGCTCTACATTGGAGTGCCTACATTCCCCAGCCAGCCCCTCTGCAGCATGTTGATCTGGGGAGAGTAGCTCCAGGCTGGCAGACTGACCCCCAGGGCCCCCTGCCAGCTGGGGCTGTTCCACCCAGGCTCCACATGCTGTGCATGAATAAACTGCAGAGCTTATTGCTCCAGAATTAATTGCTCCCAGGTGCATGTTCAAACAGTGCATCCAGGAGCAATAAGCTCCACAGTTTATCCATGCCCCATAACTCCACGTGTAGATGCGTCCAGAAAGTACAAGAGCCCAAGGACTAACTTTAAGATAGCCAGGATGACTCGTGTTCTGCAAAGTTTGTGCACCAATGTTTTAAACAAGCCATTACATAAATAAGCAGAGCACCAGTAATCATTTTCAGTTAGACAGATAGCTATCACTATATTAACATTATCTACATTTTGCTTATTCTAGTACACTCCAGGTTTCAAGAATCAGATAAAAGAGAGGACTAAAAATGTTTATGTTTAAAAAAAAAAAGTGTATTTATACCCCTAAATTCACCTCTCTCAACTAAAAGGGAGGTAAAACCCATGCAGAATCCATGCAGAAATTTCAGGTTGTGTTTTTTATATCCGCTGCATAAATATCAAATCTCATGTAGATGTATAAAACAGCTATCCTCATTATATATATATTAGTTTCATAGTCTGTAGGGTCGGAAGGGACCTGAGCAGATCATCAAGTCCGACCCCCTGCCATGGCAGGAAAGAGTACTGGGGTCAAATGACCCCAGCAAGGTGTTCATCTAGCCTGCTCTTAAAGA